CAATGGCTTCCACTTCCTACACTCTCCATAACTTTTAATAACTACTTTTTCAAAACCTTTGGGAGGTGGCCCCAAAAATTCAACTTCTGCCCACTCCCACTGATACTGTTTTCCTTTCCTCCTAATTCTTTCTGTCATTTATTAATGACCTCTATATTGACATTGCTCACTTTTCTGTTTCCCCTACTATACTGTGAGATTCAGATGGAGGGATGTTGATCTTTCTTATACAGTGGTGTGTCCCTCCCATATAGAATGGTGCCTGGCTTCTGTAGCTGTTGCTGCACAGATTTAGAAATACAAAGCATGACATGACGTGTAGCTCAGTGGAAGAGCACTTGACTAGGATATGTGAGGCCTTGGCTTATATCCTAGCCCCCAAACTACAATAAGACTACCAAGTATCATATGCTAAGTGTAGGCAGAAGGAGTAATTACTCAGTACTAGAAATAAAAGCACAGCATTATTGGATTTTTTTAAATCCCTGTTTGTCCTTCTAGGGAAAGGTCAAAGTGAGGGAACCCTATTTAGTGCTATAATGCTTCCAGGCATATTGTTTTCTAGTCTTCACAGAGGTAAGCTTGGGGAGTTATTGTTTAACTCCATTGAAAGCTAATAATTGTGTCATATTAACCTTGGGGGATGAAATACAGGAAGCATTTATCAAGGTACATAGATTTCATAAGTGATATTTTAAACAGCAATGTGCATAGTGTTAAAGGAATTGTTTTTAAATACAACAGAATTAAGGTGAAATAAAAACCAATCTTTGCTGGGCGGTGGTGGCGCACGCCTTTAATCCCAGCACTCGGGAGGCACAGCCAGGTGGATCGCTGTGAGTTCGAGGCCAGCCTGGACTACCAAGTGAGTTCCAGGAAAGGCGCAAAGCTACACAGAGAAACCCTGTCTCGAAAAACCAAAAAAAAAAAAAAAAAAAAAAAAAAATCTTTGTGAAAGTTTCTAAAAGATTACAGAAATTTGTCATTTATTCCCCATCTCTTTACAGACACAACTAAACTCTATTGTTATTGTTCCTTGAACAAAACTATCATAGAAATTAGCCTTTAGTAATAGAAATAAATGTTCTACTTAGTAATGGTGAGAGTATTGAACCTTCAGGCATGTGCAATAATCAGATATCTTTCCTACAAATGCCATCAGATGCATAAAAGTGTTAGAGAGTACCTAATAGGGTAACTCAGACAGCCAAGGTTTGATCCCGAGAATCCATGTAACAAAGCTAGGCATGATAGCACTCCTGTAACCACAGATCTGGGGAAATGCAGACAGATTCCTGGAGCACAGTAACCAGCCAACCTGGCCCAATTGAGTGATCTCCAGGCCAGCGGAACACTTGTCTCACAAAGCAGGGTAGCTAGAACCTGAAGAGGAACAACACTCACGGTTGTCTTCTGGGACACACACACACACACACAAACACACACACACATACACACACACACACACACACACACACACACACACACACACACACACACACTGTTTGAAATGGGACCAGAGGGGAAAGCATATTTCTGACTTTCTGCTGTGTTGCTGTGTTCTGTATGCCAGAGATACAAATTTCTTAAAATGATAAATATCTGCACATACCTTCTTTCACTGCACTCCTGCTTCATCCTGCTTTGAATCTCTAAAGTCAAGGTCTATCATTAATAAATCAGTGAGTAACCATCACATCCATACTTCAATTCCAATAATATTCTCTATATGCTCAGAAAAATTCTCTCCTTCATTTCCCCTCTCTCTCCCACACAACACACAGAACCCATTAAAAATGTGTGTTCCGGCCAGGTGGTGGTGGCGCATGCCCTTAATCCCAGCACTTGGGAGGGAGAGGCAGGTGGATCTCTGTGAGTTCGAGGCCAGCCTGGACTACAAAGTGAGTTCCAGGAAAGGCACAAAGCTACACAGAGAAACCCTGTCTCAAAAGACCAAAAAAAAAAAAAAAAAAGAAAAAACGTGTGTTCCCTCTCATCTCAACTGCATTTACTCTACTCAAGAACTGACAGCTGAACTGCAGGAATTGTCTTGCTGAACCCTGGAAACAACCCTCGGTGGTCAATATTTTTATTCCTTGCTGCAAATGAACAAGTGAAGAAAGCATGCCATAGAGAGGTGAAGTAAATTTCCAAAGGTCACAGTTATTCACCAGAGAGGCGGAAACTAGGTTTTCACTCACCCTGAAATTCACGTTTTCAACCACCTTTCCTCAATCCCTGGTATATTCAACAAACAATTCTTTCTAAACTTCATGCTGCTTTGTGTGTGTGTGTGTGTGTGTGTGTGTGTGTGTGTTTAATAGTCACAAAACTAAAATGCTTTAAAAAGCTACTGTTTATGACTCCTTGAATGAATTTCGTTAGTGCAAGTAATGGAGGGGGTGTTTAAATAGCATCAAGTACTTAAGGACAAAAAAGCAAACATTTTCATGCATGGTCTTTTGTAATGATGTTCAATTTAGACCTAATCCTTTTAGCCCAGAGATGGAAGAGTGACATTCTAAACAAATCTCATTGTGTTGTGTTTGCTGCCATAACAAGGTATTTAAAGGATGAAATTCTTCCTGGCAGATGGACTTCTTGGCTTCACTATACATGCACTACAGAAAGTTTTTGTTTCAGAAGGTTAAACATGAAGCCAGACGCTTCTCAGTAGATATTTCCACTTAGAAATATGGTAACTGGTTGGATAGGAAAGTTAAGGAACAATAATAAAATATTTTTTACAAGCATTTGTCCAGCTTATGATTTTTAAATGATAATTTTAATGTACATTTAATGAAATGTATCCTAGCTTAAAGTATAAGCAATTAGTCCCAGAATAAAATATTCCTATAGTTCTTCACATCAGAAAATGAAATCATTTTTATACTCAACACAGAATAAAGAAATACATCCAGCTGGATATTTGTGGTTGATGCTGGTTCCTACAGATTCATCCTTGATGCTTTAAAATCATTTGCTTATCATGAGGTTTCTACAAGGTTATCATAACACCATGTATTTTAGTTTAGGAACCTGTTATTTTTAATATAAACAAAGTATCTAACAATGGATGTAGCAGGAATCTTAGAGAGTCTTATTAATAAAATCAAACCTGGGGCCAGTTACTGGGGTTTAATGCTGGATGGTCAGAGAGACAGAACAAGCCACAACTAACTCACCTGGTCAACTTCTCAGCTGGTCTTGTTTCCTCAGACTGGAAACCTCTGTGTCCTCATATCCAAATAGCTCTCAGCTGAACTGTGCTGCTAGAAGCCTGAAAGCTTAACCAGCCAAATGCTGCTAGTTTCTGGTCCTCACACCTTATATATCTTTCTGCTTTCTACAACCACTCCCTGGGATTAAAGGCTCGCTTTCTGGGATTAAAGGCCTGTGTCACCATGCCTGGCCGTTTCCAATGTGGCCTTGAATTCACAGAGATCCAGAGGGATTTCTACCTCTGGAGTGCTAGGATTAAAGGTGTGAGTGCCACCATTTTCTAGCCTTTGTAGCTAATAGCTGTTCTGTCTCTGACCCCAGGTAAGTTTATTAGGGTGCACAATATTTTGGGGAACACAATACCACCACAAATGGAAGGCTATCCCTTGAGCATACCATTTAAAAAGTACAAACAAAACACCAGGTTTGGCCTGTTAACTTTCAGACAAACACATGCTTAATTCATCTAAGGTTGCCCGAGTCAGAAAACAGTGGTATGATCTGTCTTCTCAGAGGCAGAAATATCATTCAGTGCTTCATAGTTTTAGTATTACCCATATAGTTCCTTTTTTTCCTACCCAAATTCACTACTTCAATAAGTATCTATGGGGTGTTTTCTATGGGTCTGGCACTGTCATAGGGGTGGATTCATAACTATGTTGACAATAGAGTATAAGAAAAAAGATGCTATAGTACTTCTAAACTATGTCAGAAAAGGTGAAAACAATTTCCATCTTGTTCATGAGGACTCTCCAACACAGGGTCCTGAGTTGTCATGTAAAAGTACAAGTATTAGAAGCTGCAATGACATGAGGAACTAAGCTATGCATAGAGATCACTGACTGTTGATCTTAGATGATAATGAGATGAATTCCTAGAATGCTAGCCATGAGAGTGAGTTGTAGACATAGAGCCTAGTAGATGTTCCCATGCCTGGAGCTCTGGCTAATATTGATTACAACCAAGGGTTCCCATAAGATTTACTCATTTGAGTCATTCCAAGAATTATAATCAAACAAGATTATGAGCGAAGAAAGCTGAATGTTGTTTTATGTGAGTAGATTTTAGATGGATTTGTTAAATACTAACAGAATTGTGTTGCCTGGAATTAAGGTCTTACTAGGACCAGAAAGCCTCACAGACTATTACTTAAGGCTTAAAGCAGCCTAAAATGTTATTAAAGTCTGGAACATAGGAGATGTTGAATATGTAATGTTTGAAAGGCTGAGGAATCTTTTATCCACAGGAAGTAGAAATTACCTAATGAACTAGTTATCTGGCTAATGACTCTTTTGTGTATATATTGGAAATGACAGTTTCTTTTAGCTGGATATTGTCATACAGTGAAGACAAATAGAAGACAGAGACAAAATTGTCCAATTTTATCTGAGTGAGAACAAATAAAAATGGGTCAGGCTTTGCTGTGTTTCAGAATAAGATTGTTTCTTATCTCTAGTCTCCTCTAGGAGAAAACTTTCAAAAAGAAAGAAAAGTACTGGGGTAAAAAATCAAGACCAGAGTGCAGTCCAAAAGCATGGTGTCAGGGTAAATATCAAATCAAGTATGTGATTATACAACCTTTCTTAAGATATTAGTATGATTTAAAGTGACTTCTCATAGAGTCTCAAAACTTTGAACTAGTTTTTAGGATGTCCCTCAAAGAACATGTATTTAAAATAATAGCATTTTAAGAATTTTAAAGAAATGTTTCCCATACATAACAAATAAGAGTGTGCATGGTGGAAATCATTGGCATCAGCTTTGCTGTTTTTACACAGGGACACCCTGTTCAAGCAAAAACTATCTTCAACACTTTAAGCTAAACGCAAGCTATCATGCTATTTCATAACCCAGGTAAGGGCTATGTTTTTAGATGTTTACCTCTGTGGATACTGAAGTACAACTTTCTTTGTGGAGGAAATGTGCTTTTCATGTAAAGTCATGGTCCATCTATACATAGTCAGTTACCAGGTACATAATGAAACTCCCAGAAGAAGTTGTTATACTATTAACTATAAATTAGACACAGTCCTGGGAAGTCCCATTTTAAGAACAAATAAAAAGATTCTCAATTTGAAGGGCACAGTTTAAGATACAGTGGCAGGCTTCTGCGGCAGGGATGCAAAGGAAATTAATAGAAAAGTGTACGGGGCTTGACATTAGGATATTCTCATGACCTCAGTCTTTTTCACTTCATTTGCATGATGAAACTCTTGACTGCACTAAGAAGTGGCCTTGGTACAGTGGAGTTGGTGCTGCTGGGACTCATCTATCTACTTGCCCACCATGTACTAACAAGAAGGAGAAAAGCTCTCTGGAAATGTGTTGATATTACAACCTTTGCAATTATGCACATGATGAGGTGCTGTTGAACAGTTTGGAAAATCAGGTTCAGTAAAAGCATGTTATTACAAGAGCAATGTACAGTGAAGCATAATTAGGGAGGCTTTAGAACTCATGGGAAATCTGAATTCCCCTTGTTAGAAAGAACTTATTCAGAAAGCAGGGAGAAAGGAACTGGAGGCATAGGGAGAACTGTGGCATTAATGATATTAGTAACAGTTTTCCCAGTTTGTAAATTCATTGACCAGTAGGATAACAGAGAATAATTTTTAGCCTTCAGCTCTGAGCCAAAACCCACAAAAAAATGGGAGCTCCAGAGACCAACTATGTCTACTAATTTACTTTTAGTGTATGAGATATAATTACAAAGCAATTAGATGTGGCTATCTAAGTACAAACCACCTTTAATTTAGGAGGTGTCCAGAGCTGTCAAATAAAATGAAAACATTTTCCTTCCACTTTTCAAATTTTGTTGTAACTATAGCACTTTTTAGCAAATTACACTTGCCTGGGGAGTCTTTTCTTAGCCATCAAGGACCAAGGTCAAAAAATAATGAAGAGTCAAGGAGATAATTGATCCTGACAATCAAAATTGCCTCATAGATAAGCTGGATCATTCCTCCAGTTGAAAGCTGGAATCACACAGGGAGGGCCTTGAAACATACCAGCCAGAAGCTGATGGTTTTGGCCAGCATAAGGATGTCATCAACCCAGAAAGAAGCATTGACTCAAAGTAGAAAAGGTGATAAAATGACTACTGAGAATTTTACTTTTCCAAACTCTATATTCTCTTATTCTGGGATTGTTAAGCTAGAATGATGCAGATCCTGGATGTCCATATGTCAAAAGAAATGATGTAAGGAGACTGTAATGGTCTGAATATAGGCTTGCCATCCATACGCTAATGTTCTGGAAGCTTGGGATCTGTCATGGTTAAGATGAAGGACTAGTGAGCAAAATTAGGTCATAGAACTTCTTGAGAAGTGATTTATACCTGCCCCTTGAGAGTGAATTTGGTTTCATGGAACTACATTAGAATGTAACATTACTGGACTCTTCTGCCCTTCCAATACTCTCATTCAGTAATTTCCATTCACCATATTTTGACCTGTAGTCGGAAGGAGGATAGACAGTTATGTAAAGAAACAGTTTTAAAAAATAAAGTCTTTTAAAGAGACAGTAAAAGTAATATAAAAGTTAAGCCACATAAAGATGGAAATCACACAGAAAGTCTGGATTATACTGTCTTTGGGATTTTTAACGGGAGAAAGACATTTGATTGTAAAGGCTGCTGAGTTAAACCAATATATGTATTTTAAAGGTATCTTGACTTCAAAATTTGTATCTAAAGATATGTTGTTTTGGAAAAGAGGTTCTGCTTTTGTTTCCACAGAAGATGAGAACCTATGGATTGCTTCTAGGCTCATATGGTTTGATTAGCCAAGACCCCCTTAAAGGTCTCTGATGACACCATGACTCAGATGATCCAACATCCACAATGGTTTCAATGGCTCAGACAATGCAGCCTCACGACTATTCCAGAGAGGACTTGACCATAATTCTTAATTTTCTCAGGATCTTTATAAGATTGCAGTGTGCCTAACCAGCAGGAAGTAGTAAGAGAAGCTATGCCCAAATTCCCAAAATATTGTTTATGAATGTTTATTTTTATTTAAAGGAGATTGATTATAAATGAAATCTCTTTCTTAAAAAAGGGGAGGATGTGATATAGAAATATAGGATAGGGCTGGAGAGATGGCTCAACAGTTAAGAGCACTGGCTGCTCTTCCAGAGGTCCTGAGTTCGATTCCCAGCAACCACATGGTGGCTCGAACCATCTGTAATGAGATCTGGCGCCCTCTTCTGGCCGTGCAGGCTATACACTGTAACATAGTAAATAAATCTTTAAAAAAAAAAAAAAAAAGAAAGAAATATAGGATAAATATTTTACGTTGCTATAGATTTTAGTTTGTTGATACAAATTTAAAGTTAATTTTGTTATACTGTATGTATGTTTCTACTCTTGTTTAAGGTATTATGTTTATGAAACTCATTTGAAATTGTAGTGTATAGTTGAGAAATACAGATTAATAATTAGTTATCTATGATAACTACACTTACAGTCATGTTAGTTAAGTTTTCTAGGTATACATAGATATATTTCAATTAGGTAGGTAATCTTCAAACACTTCAAAGACCTACAGAATATGGCATTTAAAATGTTTTAAGAACTTAGACTTTCTGGACAGTGAGACATGTCTGTTCTTGGCAGCACCAATTTAGAGAGGAGGATGGGCATCAAAGACACTCCATATGGAGTTTATCTTCTTCTTGGCAGAACTAGCCATTTGGGCAAGAAACTGTTCTTGCCTGGAATAATTGACAAAATGTTGTATAGACTGGACATACAGGATCCATGGAAAAATGACCATTAAATTTTGCCAAAACAAGGCAAGATGGTCCTTCAGTTTCCTGCTTCACAGAGGAGAGGCAGAGAGACGCCAGCCTGCCGCCCAAGGAACAACATGCCAGCAGACTGGTAAGCCACAGAACACATGGCAAAACATAGATTAATAAAAATGGGTTAATTTAAGTTATAAGAGCTAGCTAGCAAGAGGCCTGCCATATGCCATGCAATTGTTAATTAATATAAGCCTCTGAGTAATTATTTTATAAGCAGCTGTGGAACCACAGGCCAGGCGGGACCCAAGAAACCTTCCAACTGTATTGACCAATGAATGATACACTCAGCAGATGTGGATGCTTAAACTTGAATATTACTTCCAAAGCAGTGAGTCAAAATAAATGTCATTTGTTTGAAAGTATTCAGCCCAAATAGTCTTTTTACAGCACTAAAAAAGAGACCTTGCTGTAGACTAGGGCAATGTCAGTACTGCATGGATGACTAGTATGTATAGGGGAGAGTGAGAAATTTTCAGATCCAAGTTGTAGGGTAGGTTGAGAAGAAATACCTCAAGACCAGTCCAAATCATCAAGGAGTTGGATGTCTGTCTGGGCTCAGAAGAAGAGGGTAAGGCTTAGTGCTACTGTCATGTTCCATATTGTCTTTGTACCTATACCCAAAGAAGAGGGATTTGCACAGAAAATGAATAAGTAGCTGCATTCTCTCTTCTCAACATTCAATGTTCTTGCGTGCCAGCCAGGACACCTGGTGTCCCCTAAATAGCTACTTTTGTAATGGACTGGAATCTCGGATTCTGAGGGCTGACAGCTATGTCCTACTTTAGGAGTGTTCCTTAGCACAAAGAAGCTGCCTCACCAAAACTGTGCCCTCTTCCTATGACTCATCGTGTGTTAAGGAATAAAGGACTTTTCCACTTCTACAAATCAGAACACCTGTAGATGGCTATTACACCTCCAAAGGTACCTGTGGGATTGTCTGGGGCTTTGCTCTCCTTACCTCATGGGTCAGCTTTCCTTCTCAAAGGTTAACAGTAATTCTCTGAACAAATTAACTTAAGTATTTTAGGATAACTTGATGTTAAGACATTCTGCTAGATGTTGTTCAGAAAAAATAGTGATCTCATCTTCTGTGAGATTTTAATTTTGAGGAAAAAATGATGACTCCAGCCTATTTTGAAATATGATCCATAGCCCTAATTCTGTCCTGTTTTATTTCTATACCTTTAATTTATAATATACTATATATTTTACTTTTAGGTATGTTTTCATTTGCCACCTACTGTTAGAAAATGAACTGTAGACAGCAACTTTAGTGTCTCTTTTTATTCTGCATCTTCTTTCCCTCCTTCCCCTTCCTCCTACTCCAGCATGTCAGAAATATCCAGTATGGTTCCTTGTACATTAACATTTATTGGCTTTTAAAGGAAGAAGAAGAAGACAAATGTGTAATATATAGGGTAAAGGGATGTGGTAAAGGATCAGTGAGAAAAGAAACATTTGATTTAACTTTGCTAATGTTTAAAGTTAGATGCCATGTTTAAAGTCCTGCTGCAGTAAACTCCATGGTGTTTTTGTCCCTGAACATGTAACTACTCTAAAAAATCCAGTGTCTCAGCATTTTTCTCTCGCATGTTTATCTCTGTGGTGAGCCCTGTAGAAGTGTTTTCACTGTAATTTTCATATTTCTGTTTTTCTACATGGCATTATAGAATTTCCTGCCTTTTTCTGTCTGGTGTTTACATGGGTACATATGGGGCTCACAGCAGGGACTGGGATTGGCAGTATTTATATCCACAGGTATCCCTGGAAATGGTATGTCAATGTTCAGGTTTGAATGGCCTCTGGAGGGAATTTATCATTTCATATTCTAAAATGAATAAGTAGTTCAAAAATATTAAAACATCCATTGATTGTATTCATAAGATTATTCAGGATTAAGAATGTAGACCTTAACTGTAGACTACTGGATATCACCCCTTTCTCTGCCTGTTACTAGTTGTATGGTTTTCAGCATGAGTTAACAGTCTGAGCATCTATACTGACCTCATTGTCTCTTTGTGAGCACAAAATGATAATACCTGGTCAGGACTTAGTAGAATAGATGGCTTATTAGTGTTTGTAAAATCCTATTTTAAAATCAGTTATTGAAACCTCAAGTAATTCCCTTTGCAACTATCTGTACTAAATTCCCAGACTATATGACATAGCAGGGTAAACCTCAATTGACCATATGGAGTTATCCTAAGGTAAGAGAACTTAACTCCCATGGGAAATCCATCTCTGTTTACTCATTTGTTCACTTTGTCAGGTACCACACCACACACACACACACACACACACACACACACACACACACACACACACACGGACATACAGACACACACACACACAGGTACAGACACACAGACCCACACATGTACAGAGAAACACAAACAGACCCACACACAGAGAGACACACACACAAACACACAGAGAGACACACACATACAGACTCTAATGATTACCTCCTTTAAGGAAGGATGTTCAGAATTATAAATTTTGTCACACAGACAGTGCTAATCTTCAGACTAAGACACCCCATCCCATAACTGTTCATAGCAGTGTAGATCTCCTCCACTCTTGCTATTGGACATGATTCCATGGCTTTAAAAACCCATGCCCAAGGTGTTCCTCAGATTCAAGCTAATCTCCTACTCTTGTTTCATATCAACACACTTTCCCCTGCTACCAACTTCCTATCTCCACCTTGATTCACATAGGGTTCAGCTTCACTAGTATCAAAGTCTACACTGGAAGATGTAGGCCATTATTATCAGTAACATACCATGTGGTTTGTATTAATTATCAGCTTGACAGGACCTAAAATCATTAGGAAAGGTACATCTGGGCATATTAAGGTGACCCACCCTAACTGCTGGACTGAATAAAAAGAAGTGAGATGACCAGCAACATTGATCTCTCCCACTTCCTGACTGTGGATGCAATGTGATCAGCTACCACAAGCTCTTGCCTTCATGGCTTCCCAAAGCTAGTGGATGGGACCCTTGAACTGTGAGCAAAGATAACCTTCCTTCATTAAGTTGTTTCAGTTAGGTATTTTATTACAAAAAGAAAATAACTAAGTCATCATGTGATAATAGTATTCTACTTCTACCAACAGGGTAAAAGCACTAGCGGAGATATTAGGAAGCAGAGAAAAGGTTCCAAATTCTCCACAACCCATAGAGAAACCATAAAGGTGACTAACACAAGTAGCACAAAGGGGTCTGTGTCCTGAAATTCATGGTTCTTTTTTAATTTTGACTACAGCCGGACTTTTTTCCTTATGATTTCTCCATAGTATAGATGACAGTTTCTATGTTTTAAGGTTTGCCCACAACATAGTTCAGTCATTAAACCTACTAAAAATGATTGACTTGGAGATAAATTTAGGCTTGAATTTCTTTAAAAGAGCCAAACTGGCAAGTTTTTCACTGGCATCATTTTCCAGACAATAATAAGCGAACACATTATTTAAGTCTGCCTCACAAAATGGAATGCCATCTGCAAGTGTGTTTGTCAGTGTGGGAAGGGATTTTGCTTCTGTGGATGGTCTAGAGTATGCTGAAATTCTAGAATGCATTTGTGATGCTTACCAACAGCTTGTGCCTTCTGGATAGTTTTGTCTAAAGCACTTTCTCCTTGCAGAGTTTGAAAAATGCAATTCTTAACCATTCACTAACTGTTATCTTTCATTTCCTTATGAACCTTGGAACACTTTGGGCATGAGAATTCAAACAATCAAATTTGCCTTCTGGGATACTTTTCTTTCACAAATTAATGTTTGTCAAAACTATAGAATAACAAAATGACACTGACATTCTAGACAAAGAAACAGCTTCATCCAGAATTATACTGAAGGCTGCATTTTAAAGCACTGAAAGAGACCAGGTACTCTTTGTCCTACAAATGATAAAACTGGGGCTCAGTTGTTGAGGAACACACACTTTGTAACTGCTAATGGGTTCTAATTAAGAAAAGATGCACAGAAACTTGGATGGTAGCCAGGCACAAAGGTCTAATTTTTAGCAGTTGTTCACACTTTGCCTTAAAGCACTTCTGAAGCAATGGAAGCCGCTACCCCCTCCACACCACAGATTTAGCTCCCTTTTATTATCTGCTACCCTTCATAACATCAACAACATATGACCAGAGATTTATCTTTGTAGGAAACTGACTAAATCAACAGACATGATTCACTCACCAGATACTTACTGAATATGTCACGAGTTACCTAAGACTAGAAAATATAAGACATAACTTTTATCAAGTAATTTTTAAGTACATAGGAAACACAGGTTACTATGTTAGAACAAAGAAATGAAGCCTTAGCCATTTTATTTCAGTGTGTAAAACAGATGAACAATCCCAGTGTTCTAGCAATATTCTAGGTACTCCACAGACTCTTTACTGTCAATTCATTTCAGTTGGTTCTTTTCCTGTGTCCTGTCCTTTTCCACCAACCTCCTGCGAATACATGTATGCACAAAGCCTGGTGAATTGTATTCCTAGTGGCATACACTTTTGAATTTAAACACAGGTGTCTTATCTGAGACTCCTACCATGCTAAGCATAAAAGAAATTATGTAAACTTAGAAACAAATCTCATGCTCTTGTCTCGTTTAATCTCAACAATAGGGCATCAATGGAGATTATTTTTGTAGGAAACAGACACATGGAGGCAGTTACTCAACATTTCAGATCGTCCATTAGTTATAAGACCGACATTAAAATCTGGTCTGAAAAAACTGCTGTAACAGAATGAATTAGGCTTTATTGACAGTTTGTAATTGTAAGAAACAAAATGATCAGAGTGAAGAGTTCCACAGTGTCAAGAGATAGGCACTTATTTTGCCTCTTCTAAGTTCCAGCTGCTCCAAAGTGAGCTGGCGACAATGAAAAGTTCCAAAACCTTCTATTTCAGTGTGAGCAGGAAACAGAATATGTGCTGGAGAATCCAATGGCCTTTACACTTTGAATATCTATCTGTCTGTCTGTCTGTCTATTTATCCATTCATATATATATATATATATATGAAAAGCAATACACACACACAGAGAGAGAGAGAGAGAGAGAGAGAGAGAGAGAGAGAGAGAGAGAGAGAGAGAGAGAGACCCATGTGTGTCTCAAATCTCAGATAATATCACTTTCACCAAAAGCACTATTTTTCTTCAACTCTAAGCTCTGCTCTCATTCCTCATTAAGATCCCATCTCTCTTTCTGTTTTCTCCTTCTCAGCTTACCTCCAGATACTTCATTATGTTGTAGGCTTTATCAAGTAAGCAGGGAGGAGGAAGGGTGCTGAGGGAATTTTTAGTGTTATAACACAAGCTGCCCTTTCAGACTTTGTTGACTTTTCACATCCTATGTTCACTCTCAGGAAGGGCAACCATTTCCTGGGTATATCAATCAACCAGAAACAATATATCAAAGCTCTTGCCATGTTCCAGGAACTGTCTAGCACATCATCTCTTTAATGCCTACAGAAAATATCCACTGAACCTCCCCCCACACTATACAGATGTTCTTCTCCTTTGATTTGTTACTTTATTCTTTTTATTCTTTACAATAATAAAACTCTATTTAACTAAATAAAAGGTGGAAAGTACAACTCCAGCAAGCTAATGTATATAGAAACTTTAAGCATTCATAAAATATTCATGAAACAGATGGGGTATTAGCTAGGTTAATGACTTCTATGTCCTTGTACAATATTTTCTTCAATGTTATCCTAATGGACCATGGTAGATAAGATGCTGAATTCTCAAGAAAGCAAAAAGTGAATATCCACATTCAATTCAAGAATAGTGAAAGGCTATTTGTTGTCATAAAATCCCACTGATGTTAATAACTTTAAAACTCTCATAATAAAGATATTATTATTTAGCATCTTTTTCCCTAGCTATAAATCCAGAAAACAAATACAAGCAATAGTATCATATATCATTTAACTATAAAGGTGACTCCATGTCGAGTCTGTTATAGACTTCATTAAATCAGTGACTCCTTATTGCCCTGAATACAGATATTATTCAAAATTCTCCATTGAACAGCAAAAACAAAAGTCAAACTTGGGTATCTGGTTCTGGTTCTCATAATACTCACTACATGACATCAAACACAGATGCGCACACATACACACACACACACACACACACACACACACGAGAGAGAGAGAGAGAGAGAGAGAGAGAGAGAGAGAGAGAGAGAGAGAGAGAGAGAGAGACAGAAACAGAGACAGAGAGAGAGAGAAAGAGACAGAGAGAAAGAGAGAGAAATAGGAACAGAAGGATGATTATTGACAACTTTTCCCCTATGGTAGAGTACAACATTGCAAATAATTTGTCTTTAAGAAAAATAAGGCTGTTTGAAGTATCAGAAATGGATCTAAAATTCCTAAATCCTTTTGTTCTAATACTTTTGTTATACTCTTTGTAGCTAATTTTTTTCAATTTGAAAACTCTGGTCTTATAACATAGATAGCATTAGCAATTACCTGTAAATGTTTCCAAGAAAAAACAAGCCCTTACTCCTTAAAGCAGTATTTTGTCTGGATTCAAAATGGCCAAATGTCACTCTTTACCACTTCTTAGATAAAAGTGGCTAACTTTCCCCCCATCATTCATTTAGAAATTTTGTAATGAAATATGAATTTTGAGAAGATAAAGAACAAGTCAAACTCTTTCAACACCGGGCATTCCAGTTTCTTCCCTGCACCACACACTGACGACACTCCTCCCCTTACTGGTGTTTCCTCAAGTGAGAATATTAGTCATCTACAGATCAAGTGAAGAGTTTATGAAATTCTATTACTTCAGGAATTATGCAAAAACTGGCACATGACATACTTATGGGTGACATCAGCTAATTATCCATTGGATCCAAGCAAATCATGAGTTGGGGCAGGTAGCAAACAATTTCCATTGATTTGCTCTTACAAATACAGAAATGAAATTACTATGTTTTGTTTGAATCATGACTACACATGGAATCCAAATTTTCTTTTTAGACATCTGTAGCTTAAAGTCACAATGTGCTAAAAAGAAAAACAATATTTTGACTAATTTCACAGTAACCATATCCTTAAGATCGCCCATCAATGGAAACAGCTGTTAAGACATTCAAGTTTCTATCTTTGACCCCCCTCCTCTCCTCTTTTTTCCCCTTGCACTTACCAGAGAATTCGGCTGCGAATCCTGAGACGATTTTTTTTTCTTTCCTTCACAGTGGTTCTCTACCTTCCTAATGCTGGGAATGTTTAATACAGTTCCTTATGTTGTGGTGACCCCAAACATAAAATTACTTTTGTTGCTACTTCATAATTGTAATTTTGCTACTATTATGAATTATAATGTAAACATCTGTATTTATGATGATCTTTTGGGGAGTGTGACCTATGGATTGAGAACTGCTAGTCTTTTCTATACCACAATATAATACAATATATTATATAACATATTATATTACATAATATAATAATTCAATTTCTACATAGGTCTTGCGGGCTTAATTTTCCTGGCTAGATTGAAAGTGCCTTAAAGACAAAATCCTCATTGTACTGTTACCATCCTCTAAGCACTTGTCTTATCGGTGGAGACTGATAATGTTTTGCAAATTCCCACATAGTTCCATATTCTAGACTTACCTAACATACTGTCTTCTTGTGCTTCATTGTAGAATTCTCACTCCTGACATTTTCTGCCTTGCCCCTGGTTCCTTCCTTGTCTTCAAAGCTCAAATTGGTAAGAAGCTTTTTATAATAGCAACTATTCATGTCTGTGGTGCTTCAACATCCTTAACTCATGACAAAGCCGCTGTTTCTCTAAACTGACAAAGATCAGAGCAAATCAGCATCTTTCACAGTTCTTGAAGGTGCTATGTATGGTAGTGGAAAAGAAAAGTAAACACCAATCTTATCTAGCTGTGAAGCCCCTAGCTACGACAATGACCAGCTGAGCAAGATACGTCCATCAGTGCACTAATGATACAGATGTCATGGGAGTAACCAATCACTTTCTGCTCAGAGATAAGGTCTGCCTCACAAATTGAAACGAACACCTGACATCAAAAACTGGGCAAGAATCTGTGTCAAGTCAGGTCATAGGTCCTAGAGAAGGATGTAAAACTATTATTCTGCAAAATGGACATAGAATTAAACTGAATCCTAATGACTTGTTACACCTATAGATTAGTGCCTCTGTCAACCCTCATCAGAGAAACTTCTTTTTGTAGTAGATAGCAAGTAACACAGAGAACCACAACTGGTCAGTATGCATAGAATAAGAATATTCAGCCCTAACCAGGGCATTTATATCACACATTCTCCTCTCAAGGCTCATGGATCATTATGGAATAGCATCAGAAAGGTTGTAAGCCCCAGAGGTTATGCATGAATATATAGAAAAGTGTTTTCTGGACCCAAGAAAATTGCACATATTAATTTTCAACAGTTAAGACAAAATTTATAAGACCTGTACAAATCCAGCCAGTAAAAATCTCAGCATAGGTAAGGGAGGCCCCCACAAAGCCCCATTCCTATCTAAGGAGCTATTGGCAATTGATAGCTTCTGGGAGAAGGAGAGTCAGGTTTTCTTTAAGAGGTCAGCCTCTAGTAGGTTGTCCAGTGGAAGGCCACGCACCCTAAAGTATATGGGCAACATCACTGATGGGTTGAAAAAAAAAAAAAAGAAGAACGTATAGTATATTTGTGTGTGAAATTCCAAAAAAATTAAGATAAAAATTAAAATATTTTTTGGGAGACATCCAGGCAGTGGGACCTGGTCCTGTGCTCATTGCATGAGTTGGCTGTTTGAAACCTGGGGACTATGCAGGGTCACTTGGCTCGGCCTGGGAGGAGGGGACTGGACCTGCCTGGACTGAGTCTACCAGGTTGATCTCAGTCTGTGGGGAAGGCTTTGCCCTGGAGGAGGTGGGAATGGAGGGGGGGGGGCTGGGGGGAAGGTGAGGGGGGGCGGGAGAGGTGAGAACAAGGGAATCCGTGGCTGATATGTAGAACTGAAATGTATTGCAAAATAAAAAAATTAAAATATTTTTATTACAAAAATTTGGAGACTTATCAAGCTTGAGAATCCCAGATAGATGCATGCTTATAATTATCCCTCCATTTTGATACAATGAGTTGCATATTCTGGTTGTTTTCCTTGGCATCTGAGAAAGCTACTAGAGTAAGGACTGATCAGGAGTAAGGGCCATAAAAATACAAGCAAAACATTATTTTTTTAATATTCAAGTGAAGGTACTAAATTTGACAGACTTAAGGATGAAAACAGCACTCTGGAAAGAGTACAGAAGACATAGGGGGAAAAGGTCCCAGTGTTTTTAAAGAGCCAATGAACTAAGTGAACCATAAAGAGAAATAGCAAAATGAGTTGACAACACTGGAGAAAAGTTCAAATTGCTTTAGAAACACTATAAATCGAAATTAGTCCTACTACACATTTACCTGCACCTCGTCAGTATTGAAAACATGATGATACATGAATGTGTGAGCAGCACATAACGAAGAGAATGAAGGGAACAAGAACCATATTTTGAGTGCCTGACAAGAGCCAGGCTGCTGCTGCTAATTAGCTTGCTGAAGAGGGAATGGGTCAGATTTGACATTTGCCTTATTGGTGTATTGTGAATATTTTTGCTTTATCAATTGGTAAGAAGTCTAGTTTCTTAATTTCAGCATTGGTTCTCCCTACAGCCACTCATATGGCAAACCCAATGGAAGGCTAACAGCAGCATACTTAGGATAGAGTGAGGCCTGCATTTTCAGACATCTACTTAACTTCGTTTGAGCTGTTAGAACTTACTGCATACTTGCCCCATTTTCTCATCAGGAAAACAAAGGTCACATAGTAGTCCTTCTACTTGATGGGTGTGTTGTGAGGGCTCAATAATTGAAAGCATGTAAAATACTGTCAAGGAGCTATAAAATAAGTATTTGATTAATATTAGTTGTTGTTCCCATTATAGTCATGATGCAAATACTAAATCCTAAGTCATGACTTACCAAAAATGTCTTAGGAAAGTATTTCAAAATCCATCAATTAGTACTAAGGATTCATTGAACTCAGGTTATGTGACATACAACTTAGAAATTTATTTTGAGTCTTTAACAAAAATGTAGAAGTAGTTTTTAGGGACTCAAACTTCACATTTTGTCCCTAAACTGTTTGTGAGTATGTAATATCAGAGTTTACCACTGTCTTCCCCGCCTCTTTTCTGTGGATATTCTGTATATCATTCAGAAGTCCTACCACCTATATACTTAGCAATCAGCATTTCCTGGTACTTCTGCCTAAATTTATTCATTGATTTACACCATCTCTGTAGGAGTGCCCAAGAATTTTGAGCTAAGTCTCACTATAGAATGCACCTCTGATCTTGTAAACCTCTGCCTAAAACTTCTTGTGCCTTGGCTTCCTAGTATAACCAGTATGACCGACTGATGTTTACTCTGGGTATAAATATTATTTAAATATACAGCAACATCCTAACATCCCATTTTTCTACCCCAAAATAGTTTTAAAAAGCCCAGAGAGGATGAACTTGGATTAGAAGCTATCTTTGAGATATTATTGGATTAACACGCTCTGACTGACTCTATGATTCAGGCTAGAAAAACACAGGAAAAGAACATCTGTTTAATTGCTGTGTACATCTGAAGGTTTTATCAGGACCTTTATTATTATTATTATTATTGATTTTTTCAAGACAGGGTTTCTCCGTGTAGTTTTGGTGCCTGTCCTGGATCTCACTCTTATAAGGACCTTTAATGGTATCCCTTAACATTTGTGAGATATTTGAGAAAAGTGAGACTTGAAATACTACTTATGGTATTTCTGTCCTTTCTAATTATAACTCATATAACTCATGGCTAGGGTAAGGACATACTCCATTTTCCAACTACTATGAGAAAAGTACCTAATAATAAAGTAAGAGCAGTCTTCAAACTGTTCAGCCTGGCAGGTAATCAGGGCAGAGCATCACAAAAGAAAGGGAGGAGAGCTGGGCGTGGTGGCTCACGCCTTTAATCCCAGCACTCGGGAGGCAGAACCAGGCAGATCTCTGTGAGTTCGAGGCCAGCCTGGGCTACCAAGTGAGTTCCAGGAAAGGTGCAAAGCTACACAGAGAACCTGTCTCGAAAAACCAAAAAAAAAAGGGGAGAAAGACAAGGAAACAGCACAAACATCCGTGAGACAGTCTGGCCGAGTCCTCTTCTCATTAAGGTACGTAAGAGATGTTTTTCTTGGGCCAGAACCTAGAGCTAAAAGCGTTTGTAGATAGTCACTGACACTCTAACCCTGTGAATCATATCAGGCCTTTTGTCATATCACCAGTTAGAATGTGGTCACATGCTGCCTGCTTTGCTGAAAAGTGTCTGAAGCCTTGAGTATGGAGAGATGCAAGAGCAGCCCTCTTCTCCCTTTATATGTTGGCATTCCTTAGGAACCACTCCTTGACTCTCATCCTCTCATTTTGCCCTCTCTTCAGGGTGTCATCTACCCCTTAGGGCTTAAAACACACTGACACACTAAGGGTCTCACATCTCTAAACGTGTTTCATGTAGTCATTCCCAGCTTTTGCCTCAGACTGTCAACTTTCTCTTTGAAATCTTCACCTGACCATACCAAGGCCGTTTTGATTCAATTTGTTTAGAAATGGAAGTCAGACATCACCACCATCCAAGGTCAGTTATTTCCTTTCCTTAAACATTTTCTATATCACTTAGGAGTTCTACTATCTATATACTTAAGAGTTAATGTCCTAGAATATGTCCTAAATTTGTAGAAACTTCCATGAATTCTGAGCTTAACTATTATATCATTCTTTATTTGTTTTTATTTGATTTCCTGATTGAATGTAACTCGACCATGTCAACTCTATGCAGAAAATCTTTTCATGGGTTGGTTTTCTAGCTAAAAAATAGTTTATCTGGAGTCCTAATATAACTCAAAGCCTTTGTGATTTGTCCCTTGTTCTCCTCACCAGCCTCATGATGACATCTTGTTCTAATTTTAGTCATACTAGTCTATTTTTAGAGCTTCACACCAACCCTTCTTGTCTCATCCCTTACATTGTCTGTCCTTCTTAGGACTTCATTTCCATTCTAAAATGACTGGCATTATTCATCTTACTCAGTTTAAGTTGTATCTTTCAGAAAATTCTCCCTGGCTTCTAGATGGTTGGGTGCCAAAGTGCCTTAAGCATCCTCTGTCATTAATCCTAGCTTTGTTTTATAGCAGTTTTTAACATCACTGCTGTCTTCCTCACTGGACTTTGAACCTGTGTAAATCCCCAGTATCTAACCTAAAACAAGGGTACTTACTAGAAGGACAGCAAATCTCCATGGGATGTATGCACATGGACAGAGGATCCTGCTGTGTTTGCATGTTTGAGACTTGCCAGGTACCAGTGAAGCAGCACCAACCTTTGAATAGAAGGTCAGGGCTTAGCTTCTTCTAGACCTTTCTTCAAATGCAGATAGCAGGGCTAGACAATTTCTTGGATGGGGCTCAAGTAACCTGCTTTTATGTGCAGGAGTTGTGTTGTAAATGTATCACTTCGGAATGGGCTCTACAATTCTGCATTTTGATTGGGTTTTAGTTTTCTGTAATGGTCTTCATCTATTGCAAAGTGAAGCTTCTTTGATGAGGGGTGAGGACGACACATATCTGTGGATAAAAGGACAAGTGTTTAGAATGTAGTTAGGGATTATGCTAGTTTAGTA